GAAAGGAACCAAGCTACATCAGCTATCGCCAAATTTAATCAGACAGTTTAATTGTCTACACGAAAACGGTTGTGCAGATTTCAGTGAATTTTCTGCATAATAAAAAGCAAATTTTTGAAAATTTGCAAAGAAATCCATATCCGCACAAACGTTCTCTTGTAAATATTAAAATTGTTTAGTATTTGGCAATAACTGATGTGGCTTGGTTCCTTTCTGGTAAACGCGGTCCATTAGTGACAGAAACTCGCTTTCAGGGTGCAAAGCCGTATGCTTCATCACGCGAGACCGCCGCACCGTTCTGCCGTGCTAAGGAAAAACGCCGTACAAACCTTCGAGAGTTGCCAAATTTCCCTTGATAAAACATGAATTTTTGGCAACATTCATGCATATTTTTCCTTGAAATTTTCAGATATTTTAGATTAAATTGCGTACAAAATTGTCTGAAAATTTTGGGAAATAATTTTCAGAATTTTTTCAGTAAATTCGGTTTTTATCAGAGGAAACCTGGCAACAACTGAAGGCTCATACGGCGTTTTTCTTTACCACGGCAGCGTTGCTGCATGACAGTGGCCGGAATGCGTGAATTTGAGCGGAATTAGGCAGGCGACCATGAGCGCACTCTAGTTTCATCAACTAAATAGATTGCTCAAATATTATCCTTCAACCTGACCGTCTTCCATTAGTTCCGTCCTTGCCGGGTGACAATTCGAGTTTCGCCAACTCTCATCAGTCTAACTCCATGCATGCGGGGCAGGAGTTACGACTCCTTGGCAGGCTGTAGACCATACCTCACCCTCGACCTGTGGTGCCAATTTTCATCCCCTGACTCGCCATCCTTCACTGATTCCCGTCTTGAAAATTGGCGATTTTCCAGCGGATTGTTATCGCTGTCTCTGACTGGCGTCATTTACCAATCAAATCCGCTTAGCCTACAAAACCACGCCCAAAAATGGGTTAACGTAAACTCATACATTTACAAATATTAACAAAACGTGCCAGCACGCGCGGACGTGCAACGGAATATCATTGCTTGAAGGGAATAATAGGGGTGCTATTTTTAAGTCCGTTTTCGAAGAATGCCTGATTAAAAGACTCAGAATTCGTGCACGCGCATGCAAGATATATTTTTTTGCCGCGCTTTTGATGTGCAAGAATTCAAAGAATTGAAGGCTAGAGATTTTCATCTTTAGTGATAGTTAATTAACCATGAAAACTTAAAGAATTTGCGGGCGATTCTCCTCAGCACGTAAACTGCTGTCTTTCTAGAAAACGCTTTCAAGCTCTTATCAAAGTCGTATTATTTTGGGGAGCATGTTTTCTGTAAAATTTTTATGCATTAAGAAAATAGAATCAGGGTTAAAACGCTAAGGTTAATTTTAGTGTAACACTCCAAGTTTATCCAAAATGGACACAAAAATTCCTACCAATTTTGGTAAACACTTAACCAGGTCCTGCGGAGACTTGAAATGACAAGAAGCGGTTTCCGGCTTTGTAAAAAAATTAAATTCGTTCAAGTATAAACTTAAAACGATTTAATTGAATTATTTAAATGATAAAATTAATTTCGGATAAAGGTATTAAGCTCGCTTCTTAAACCTCTTTAAAACCAGAAAAGAGTAGAGGCGGCACCTGTTTCGTGACTGTTCATGTTCATTTCAGACTAACGGATTGTTGTTTTCTGGGTTAAGTGGGAGTGTATGTCCTGTCAAAAACAGGCATTTTTATTCGTTTTATTTCCAACTTGACAAAAACTGTTTCCTTAATAAATTAGCCTTTTTTCTTCGAGGTCAATTTTCTCGTGTCCCTATAGTAGCTCAGTGCAATGAGAACATTAAAATAAAATTGCAACCTTTTGTCCCTCATTTTTTTTACCATGAAATTACAATATTTTTACATAACTTGGTCAAAAGCCGATTTTAAGCAATCAAAATAAAATGAGAATCTTGTATTGGAAAAGGACAGAATCAGCGATGCAAAGAAAAATATCAGCTTACTTCAATTATGTTGAAGTAAAATTCAATAAGAGGTTCCCTTTCAATCAGTGGGTAGGCAACATACAACACTCCAATGCAATAACATTAATTTTATCGTATTATTCCAATATATTGCAAGCTGTGCCACGTGAGACACGTGGGTGGATGGTTAAGTGAATTCATTTCAAGGGAGTTGAAACGTACTTTTAAAATTAAATAGCCCATATCAAGTTTTTCGTAGTTTTCATACTTCTTCAAACACTTCAGCTGATTTAGCCTGAGTTTAACAGAGCGAACCAAGTTGCATATGGGCGTATTTCTGCCAAACGGAACTATGTGCATTAAGACATGAGCCCTGAGACCCACAAGAATATATGCGTAACGGGGCTCACGCCATAATGCACACAGTTCCGTTTGGCAGATATACGTCCATATTAGAAAAACTAAGTTGAGATTGGTATTGAATCCGAATAGTCTTAAACTTGCTCCTGCCATAAGTTCAAAGTTGTAAAAAAATATGTCAAACGTGAAAATAGTCGTTAAATTTTATCTTCAACATTCTGTCTTACGGATGAGTAAAACTTCGGAACTCTTTGTTTCTGTTCAAAGATGCGAATCGGTGCGTTTCTTGTGAACTGGGGCCATTTTTTTATCCTGATCTCCTAATTTTTGAAAAGCCCATTTGTTTTCAGCGTGCCTGCAATGCACGACGGGGATGAAATTGAATTAAACAACGTAGTGATAAAAATAACAAGCAGTGTTTTGAAGCGAGCGTTCTTTTACCGCGTTTTCAATTCGGTTACAGAATGGTGTCAAAGTGCGCACAGTGAATCCAGCCGCCAAGGATTTTAGATTCTGGAACGGTATCGCGTTTCCTCAGACAGTGATGCGATAATGCACCACAGGCGAGACGTGAATGATCGATTAATCGAGATTTCCCCGTTTGAAGCTACAGTAAAGAATCGATCGTCAAGGTGTTCGATTCCACAGGTTCAACCTCGCTTTCATCAGAGTTACACGTTGTGTCTGTTGCAGGGCTCATGTCTTCATGCACATAGTTGCGTTTGGCAGAAATACGTCCATATGCAACTTGGTTCGCTCTGTTGAACTCAGGCCAAATCAGCTGAACTGCGTAAAAACTTAATATAGGCTGTAAAATTTCAAAAGTATGTTTCAACCTGTGCAATTGTGTGTTTCACTCACTAATGAAAGCAAGGTGGAAGAAACCAAGGGTGTCCCTACCGCGGTAGATGTCGTCATTAACTTAATTTTTCAAAGCGCGATATTTCGGTTAATATTGAATGTTGAGAGTTGCTGTTTGGACGGATCTTATTATTTTTAGTTAAACACGTTCCTCTGACTAGCACAACTACCCCACTAAACGAGTTAGCACATATGCAGGAAATATACAGGAAATATCGGTGCAGTTAAGATCTTCCAGTCCGTTCCCCGGTGGATGTTCACATTTGGACGTATTTCTACCAAACGGAACTATGTGCATATTATGAAGTGAGCCCTGTTATGCATACATTCTTATGAGTTTCAGGGCTCATGTCTTCCTGCACATAGTTCCGTTTGACAGAAATACGTCCATTTGTGTAGTGAGTTCTATCCAGGTGTGAGGAATTGGGCTCCCCTGAGCGACGGAACTACTGGGATCCGCGCCCCGAAAATAAGGGTGGAGGAGTCGGGGACCCAAGGCAGTGTAAATACGGGGGTCGGTTGAGAGGAAAGAAACATAATAACTCCACCCCTCCGCTCCCCTGTCCACAAATATTGACTTGTGCACAGATCTAGACGATGCGTAGGGCAAACATCAAGATAATCCGCCGAGCGCTGATCGACTTGGAGCGCTGGCACACCCTCGCTACCTGCTCTGTATCCTCGCACCCTCACGCATTGGATTTTACAACCCCCCCACCCCCTCCTTCAAAATTCTCCAAGAGCATCTCGTTTCTGCATCATCCGTTTACCTTTCATGCACTTGTCTTCCTTTTGCCCAGATTCATCATACACCCTGAATCCTCTATCTCGGGGGATACTATCACAAGCGTAATTCTTTCTGAAAGAGATCGGTAGAATTTAGGGATTTTGGTTTCTCATATACTTTTCCGTATGAAAATGATAGTTTCTTTTGTTGAAATAAAGGAATTAGCAATGCTCTACAGGGAACTGCGTCCAATACTATCCGCCGGTGGTCGGCGCAAGAGGCATATTGGCGCCTACAAGACGGTAGGAATACTTTACGCATCGCGCCAAACACAGTGCGGTCGCCGGCCGGCGCCGAGCGCATATTAGCGCCTACAAGAGTGCATGAATACTTCACGCCTTGCGCCTAACACAATGCGGAGTCCTGAAACAAAGAGGCCACCCTGTTAATGTATTTGATCCCTATTTTCGCATAGAGAGTTTGTCTTGATAGATAGGTGGACTAAAAGGGTACCGTGGGATATCCCCTCCATTACGGCCTCAACTTTGGTAGCTTTTTTTTGAGCTTCGGAGTTGATTTCAGAGAAAGCCAGTGGTAACATCGTGTTTCTCGCATTTACATAATCGCAAAATTTCATATCGGAATTAGTGCTTAAAACGCAAATCCCTGACATTTGCAAGAGCCCTGCTCATACGAAAGAAAAACAAAAGTAATTTTCAAAGGCTTTTGCTCAAAATGCAACTTTCGTGACGAGCTCCTCGTCGCGCAGTAGATCTAGTCAGTCAGAGAGGTCGGACATGCAATTCTTGACTAAACCTGCAAATTTTGATGTTTAATATTTACTCCAGTTTAAATTTTAAGGTATGCATGTAGAAAAAAATTTCACGAGGAAACGAACGGAGCCACTTTTAGAACCTCGAAGTTTTGTGTAAACGAAGTTATAAGCTTTTAAAATTTCCAAATTTCATCCGACCTCTCCTATTGACTCTATCCACTGTGCGTCGCAGCCGCCTCCTGAATCTTCTTCGTTGAGCACAAAACACCCCGAAAACAGTATTACTCAATAATAATCCGTCATGCTTAATTATCTGTTGCAGATTCCCGATGCCGTGACGCACGGAACCGTCTGAGATCCTCGGCGCCCGCACCGTATCCTGAGGCTTCGGAACCCGCGAGGAAATCCGGGAACAATTAAGGGAGAAGTTGCTTGAGCGTCGATTCCGGTGTCATCCCGCCCGCTTTCGGGGAAGCTCCTCACATGCGCGCCATGCTTCAGCCGAGGACAATAATTGCCGAGTTATGAAGTGCGCGCTGCGAGTATGGAGTCGGGAGTGAAGTGTTGGGGGTTGGCGCGGGGTGTCTGAACGGGACAGGAAGTGCAACTCCTCAGACCCTCGAGACGTCTCGCTTTGCTCCTTTCGACGGAGCTCGTGCCGCGGGTCCTCGAAGCAGTGTGCAGTGCGCGCCGCGCTTTTTCGGGCAGACTATCGGGTCCTCAACAGAGTCTTCCGCTAACCGGGATGATGCGCAAACTTCGCCTCTTCGGCATCCTCCTCCTCCACCGTATTCATTTCTAAGGTAAGCACGTAATGCCGTTTCCCGCAATATATTCCGCATTCCAGAACTTTTGAAACATTCTCGGAATGGACCACCAGACAAGGTACGAATTTAAGCATTCTGATACATGTTTCATAACCAAAATTTCACGCAAAACACGATTCGCGCAACGAAAATGACTTGAACCAACTCCTAACGAAGATATTAACGTTTTTATTTCACATTGGTCACGAGGAATTTGAACTGCCCGCTCACAAGAAACTCAAAGCTCTACGTGAGTCAAATCGTGCACTACAACGGTTTCAACAAGCTCCTCAATCGAGTAGTGTTCATTTCCCACCATGTGTTGTTCAAACTGTAAGCAATCTGCTATAGCTGAGCCAAAGTGTCGAGATTGAGGTTGCCAGATTTGTATATCGTAAAGACTGTCATGATAACGTTTAGCGCGCGATGTGATTCACGTAGAGCATTGAGTTTTCATGAGCGGGCGGTTTGAATTCTCGCATCGAGAATCATTAAAATCTTCGTAAGGAGTTCATTTCGGTAAATTTCGTTGTGTGCATCGTGTTTTACGTGAAATTTTGGTTGAGAAACATGTATCAGAATGCTGAAATTCGTACCTTATCTAGTGGTCCATTTTACTCGGAATCTTCAAAATTCCTGGGATATCTTAGAACTTATGGCTAATTCCGAAATTTTCTCGAAATTTCCGGGTTTTCTGTCAGTTCGACAGATGATTTAATCAAATTTGATCATTTTTCTAATCAAATTTGACGATCTCCAGAACTGAATCCGGGCGTATTACGGAATTTTTCCCGGAAATTTTGAAAAAAAATCGGATTTTTCCCGGGATTCTTGAATTGGATTCTAGGATCCCCGGAATCTTCGGTAAAATAAAATGGCAGCACTGGTTTGTTGATGCCCTGCCAAAATCCATCATCCCCGCCCACAGTGATTGAAAGGGATGCGTGGAACGGCGGACCGGGGGNGGGGGGGGGGGGGTGGAGAACAAGGGGTTCACGGGGAAATCTCGTTGATTGTAGGGCGGGGGCAATTAAATTGACAACACCAAATATTATCGCAACAAGAACAGAGGAGACCGATCGATTCCAGTTCCGATCTCTCGGAGTAAGTACCGGGTTTGTCATCGGGCGATTGATCGAAGACGTTTCGATAATCGATTATCGATATCGATATAGCGAAGCCTCGAGAGCGGAAGGAGTTCCGGGTTCCACCGCGGAGGGAGGAGAGCAAATATTGATCCCTCGGAGAAACCACGGATTCCGGAGTGGCTTCGGGCCCAGGTTGTCCGATTCCTCGGAGCTTATTATTGTGGTACAACACCACAAGACATTAGGACTCGCGAGTGTTTGCTTGCCCTGGAATGACCTACCACTAGCTTGATAAGTCGCTAACTAAGGGACCGCAAAATCGTCTCTAGGTGCAGCAGATTAGCGAAAAGTAATAAGACCTGTTCTGCCGTGCTAGGAAAGAACGCCGCATAAACACTCCTGTGATAAATTGATACATATTTTTTTCCTATCAATTTAAATGAGAATAATCAATGCAGAGTTTGCTAACATTTCAAATGAGTTAAAAAACGCTGACCATGCGAGTATAAATATTAAAGCCGAACAGAGCGGAGCGGCGTGCTGCCAGCGCGAGAGGCTCACTGGCGCCTACAAACCTAAGTGGATACGTCACGCATTGCACAATGCTTGAAGTATCCACTTAGGTTTGTAGGCGCTAATGCGCTGGCCGCCCGCCCGCCGCGCGCCGTGCGGCGGCGCCTGAAGCAACTATTTCACAACAGAGGTGCTGCACAGTATTATACGAAATTGAACGTATTAAGAATGACAGGCATCCTTTAAAAGTACAGATCTCTCCTCGCAAAATAAATCAAGATACTTATCGTACATAGGAAAAATCTAAGAGCCTTTAGCTGAGGCAAATATAGAGGTTCATCCGGTTCAGGTATAACAAGGTGGGAAAATCTTGAAAGATAATTAAGTCCTGTTACACCAAAGAGGTGTAGAGAGTTTTAGTGAATTTTGTCTCATGGAATTGACGCTCCCCCATTTTTACCAAAACTCTCAAGTATATACTATTCCCCATTGGACCAAACAGACAAAACTAAAAAACAAGCAAACCCTCATTCTTCCAAGACATTATATACTTTCATCCAAAAACGTCGTGAGCAATTATTGTTTGTATTTACATGTGGGCCAATCAACTTTTGGTCTCAACTGGCACGTGGACCAAAACTCCCGTGCCGAAAAAACGCGTGGGCGTAAATTACTGGTAAAAACAGGTGCGCGGACAAAAAATCGTTGACGAAATGTCCTATAACCAATTTTTCCTTTTTTGGCTTAAATCATGTAGTAGCCTCTGTTCTTCAAGAATGTGATAAAAATTTGCTTGAAGCAGATCAAAAAACTTAAATTCGTTCGAATGGCGTACTACGTTCACAATACACGGTCTCGTCGAGGTGCGTGATTGACCTCGCAGTGTTGGATCGTGAATTCTCTCTTAGGCTGCTTACCTACATCTCTATAATCTCTGTAATTGAAAACTAATGATGTTGATGCACGAGTCAATGACGCGCCTTATCAACAAATTGTGTCGGAGTTCACTGCTTGTTGCATTAGAGAGCACATTGTATAGTACCGCCTTTAGTCACCTGAGCTTGAGAGATTAAGACAGAACATGGATAAAAAACCTTTAATTATTGATCGCTGAATAATCCGCCCATACATTCCCGCCTAGATATTCCCGCCTACACATTCCCGCCTAGATATTCCCGCCTAGAGTCCTTTCATACTGACAGTGAAGACAATGTGAATCCATTTCTGATTGTTTTCCTATATTTTAGGCCTTCACAGTGTCACAAACGGGAATAAAGATTACAGTTTCACCAATTACAAAAATTATAAACTGTAATGGACCGGGACATGGGGGATACGACAAGGAACACATGGAATGAGAGAGGGAATGGAGATAAAAATTCGGTAATGGGTTGATCAAAGATCACAAAAAACGTCCTATTTGTGTAATCTTTATGCTCGTTTGAGACACCCATGAGCCGTGTTTTCTTAACTCTCTAGAATAAAGGGACTCTATTCTCGCCTACGCATTCCCGCCTAGATATTTCCGCCTACAGATATTTGTGGTTGTCTCGTCTGACAAATCGCCGCGCCATATCCTCAGTATTTCATTATTGCCAATGATTGCTTTAATTAAGCAACCCTGAGCTTTGTTGTCTTTAAATAGCATTACGGGGGCTCAGCGCCGTTCCCAGCGTCCGGGGCTGAAAACCTCAAACTTACCCAAAATAACGTCGAAGCTCTCCAACAGATAAGAGCTTATGCTCCTGTAACCTCCAAGTTATCATCAATTGGACGTATTTCTATCAAACGGAACTATGTGCATCATGACGTGAGCCCTGTTATACGCATATTCTTACGGGTCTCAGGGCCCATGTCTTAATGCACATAGTTCCGTTTGGCAGAAATACGTCCAATTCAAGCTCCTTCAGATACAGTTGCGAAGCATAAATGATCGACTATCGATATTTTTTTCCATTTGAGCTTGTGTAAGAGGAATCGCTTATCAGGTGTTCGTCGGAAACACCCTGTTCATCGATCCTTTTCCATAGGTTTAAATGGCAGATCAACCGATTTATCGCAAAGTACGCCAAGCCACTGCTTCAGAATTGAGGACGCGCTCCATGAACTAATGCAGGAATGCTCATTCAGTAAACTTTTTTTACGGTTCTCTGATAAATTATTCGCAATGTATATTCCAGATGTCCGTGTGCAATTATTTTGCATGCACTCACTCGAGAGCGGCCAACTCTCTCCGAATTTTTAAGCACTTAAGTTTGAAAGCTACGCCAATACCTCCGATTCCGGACTTGAAAGCTGGAAAGGGGCAATGTTCTCAAAAGCGTTTCCATTGAGTATACAAGAAATGAATAAAGAGAATATCCCCTTGAAGCTTTTGAGGGGTAGGAGGCGCATCCCAATCTCAATACTTGCAAGTTGGCTAGACTGTTTCTTCTCCGATCAAATGTATGTAAAACAATCGATTCTTGCCTCACATAAATCGATAAATTCAATGTATTTAAATGGAGGAGAGACAGTGGCACTAACTTGCAATGGTATCAGTGTGCTGCCGTAGGGCGTTGCCAAATCTCTTTGGATGAATACGAATTTCCTGCAGCACTTGTGAATATTTTAACGTTAATTTTGCCGTGTATTTTGTAAACAATTTGATCAAAAATATTTGAAAATCTCAAGCTTTTCGTGAAAATTAAAATGCTTGGCGCGAAGTTATTCTTATAAGCATGTAATCGGTGTTCGAAACTCTCCTTGGAGTTTTAGGAGCCATGAAGCGCATTAAGCTCAATTTTTAGGGACCATTGAAGATTTTTTAGGGGCCAAATTGACTTTTTGCCTATATATCACGGTGAATTTAGTGGCAGGTTAGACGCAAGAGGTCTTAGTTACAGAACTAGTAAACAGAACTAGCTATTACTCGGGGGAAATTTCGAAAAATCATTAAACATAAAAACTATGATTTTTTTTGTGGGGGGGGGGCAATTTTTAGGGGCCACGATGGCGCAGAACTTTCATTTTTTAAGCGCTATGATCGATTTTTTAGGTGCATTCTGTGAGTTTCGAACACTGATTCTAGGTATGCGAGAAAGACGATAATCATTCAAAAAGAAGAAGGAAGAGAAGATGGAAAGGAAGAAGAAGACGGAAAGGAAGAAGAAGACATGAGCGGAAGAGAGGCAAAGGGAGAAAAGTAGCGCGATAGTGGGATTCCAAGGTTTGGTGATTTTCTTCTTGACTAACTCACCAGACAGGATAAGAAAGGAAGCACTACATAGGGCATGTCTCTTCGCCAACTTTTCACGTAGAATACTTTGAACGTATCAAAAACTTCCTAAATTAACTTTTGAAGTATAAATACACGTTTTTAGCTCAGCGCAAACAGAAAATTCAAATCTCTCACAC